CTCAGGTATTCTTGATCTTTTCTATGATTTGGGAAATATATATGTCATATTTCATATTTTATTCTGCAAATATTTCCTAATCAAATTAAATGTAGATCTGTGAATGAAAAGATTAAAAGTATCATTAAAAAAGAAAAAAAAAAAAAAGAAAGTACTTCCAGTGAGGTCCCTGATAAAAATAAGTAATATGCTATTAGAAACTGGAGAAAAGACAATCCTTATTATAAAGTGGCAGAGAACTTGGCCCACTTATGGGTGCTAGTGTTCTGTGAAAAGTAGAAGTTGGAAGCAATAAAGTTAGATATTTAGCTGAAGAGATTTCCAAGCAAAATATTAAAAGGTGAGACCTGGTTTCTCCTTGCTGCTCATAGCAAAGAAGAAGAGGAAAGACGTAAATTGAAGAGGAAACTGCTAACAAAAAGGAACTAGAAACTTGGATATTGGGACAATTTTTAGCTTAACACCAATAGCATGCTCTGGAAACAGGGCCGTGTGATTTAACAATGGTTTGCTTCAGAGATTAGGCATATGGCTCATAGRTCAATGAACTATCTCAGCCGAAGTCAGGCATAAAGATGCTGTTATACAGAAAGCTGTGGAGCCTTCTTGTATAAGTACTGGGCCCCTGTGAATTGTGTGGGATCCCACCAAGGTTATTGAGAATTTCAAAGTAGCAGAAGCACTGCCAGCTTGGATCAAAGGGACTGAGATAAGATAAAATGAAGGCGAGCTGTTGAGATTTCTGAAATTCCACAGGCAGGAAATGGACAATAGAGTTGTCTGGCTGTAAACATGTATTCTCTTTTTAAGAAACAGGAAGAATGACCACAGAGATAGTTCAAAGGCTATCAAGACTGCCACTGCCACCAGGAGCCTGACTGAAGGAGTGGTGATGCCACTTCAGGGGGTCTATCACCCCGGTGGACTAGAAGCTGGAGGATGGAGCCTTAAGCCTTCTCAAGCCTCGAAACCTAATTGAATTTTTCCTGCCAAGTTCCAGACTTGCTTTGAGCCTGGGACCCCTTCAGAGTGGTAATGTCTATCCTATGCCTGTCCCACCACAGTATTTTAGAAGCAGAAAACTGTGTGGCTTCACAGTTTAAAGCTCTTGAAGAATTTTGCCGCAGGATGAATCATACCTTGAGTATGATTCATGCTCGACTTAAATGATGTTCAGATGATGTATTACTCAAGGTTCTCTGGAGAAAAAGAGCCAATAAGGTGGGCTCTGTGTGTATGTGATTTATTATAAGGAGGTGACTCATGCAATAGAAGCTGACAAGTCCCAAGATCTGCAGTTTGCAAGCCGCAGGCCSGAGAGAATGGATGGTGTATTTCAGTTCTAAGGCAGGAAAACACTGATGTCAATTCTTTTCTATTTGAACCTTAAATTGATTGGATAMAGACCATTTATATTAGGGAAAATGATCACTTTACCCAATCTCCCCATTTATATGTTCATTTCATCCAGAAACTGTCTCACAGACATACCCAGAATAACAATTAGCCAAATATCAYGGCATCTCATGGTCTAGTTAAATTGGCATATAAAGTCAGCCATCACAAAAGAGATTGTKGACTCAGGGTTGACTGTATTAAAAGAATACTGGAATGGGGTGAACATATTTTGTGTTTAAGAAGGACATGGTAGCCAGGCCTGGTGTTGCATGCCTGTAATCCCAGAAACATGGGAGGCTGAAGCAGGAGAATCACAAGTTCAAAGCCAGCCTCAGAAACTCAGCAAGGCCCTAAGCAACTTAGCATCTCTGGGTTCAATTTCCAGTACAAAACAAACAAACAAAAGAGGACGAAGACGTGAATTCTGGAGACCTACAGGGTAGAACATCATAAACTTTGTGTTCTAGCAAATTCATATATTCAAGTACCAACTCCCTGTAAATCAGAATTTACTGGGAGATAGGATCTTTACAAAGATAACCAAGTTAAAATGTGGTTACTAGGGAGGGCTCTAACATGATATGACTGGTATCCTTAGAAAAWGGAAAAACTGCATACAGAGACACACCTAGAGGAAAAGAATGTGAAAAGATGTAAGGCTTAGAACAGAACATTCCCTCACAGCCCTCAGAAAGAACCAACCCGGACAAAATACCTTGACTTTGGATATCTAACCTCAAGAATTATTAAAACAATAAATTTTTATTGTTTAGACCACCTAGTTTGTAGTAATTTGCTGCAGCATCCCTAGCAAATTAACATATAAATTCTCATCTCTAACACATCAATTATCATTGCTCTCAAAATATTCTTTTCCTTAATAATGGCCACTAACAGTACTTACCAGGTACTAATCCTTGCAAGAAGTTCTTAGATACATATTATCTCAGTGAATATTCAAAACTAACCCTTTGAATGAATTTTAGGGTATTAAGATTAATGAGAAATAATTAGGTTACTAAAGTACATGCCGATACAGATGGATCTCCAATGCATTATGCTAGTGAAAAAAGCTRAACTCAAAAATTTACAGGATTCCATTTTCTGACATTCTAGAAAAAACAGAATTATTAACAGTAAACAGTTCCAGGAGTGAAGAAAGAACTATAAGGGAACTGTGTTGGGGGGGGGGGTATGGTATTGTCCCATCTCTTTTTTTTTAACATTTATTTTTTAGTTGTAGTTGGACACAATACCTTTATTTTATCTCTTTATTTTTWAAAAAATATTTATTTTTTAGTTGTACACAATACCTTTATTTTGTTTATTTATTTTTATGAGGATGGAACCCAGGGCCTCACAAGGCTAGGCGAGCACTCTACCGCTAAGCCACAACCCCAGCCCCACTGTCCTCTATCTTAATAACAATAAATCATGCTTACATAGCTACATTTGTGAAAGCATACTCCAAAAGGGTGAATTTTACTGCATGTAAATTATACCTCAATAAAACAGACTTTTAAACAATAGCCTGGCTTAACATCAAGTCTTAAAGTCTGCTGAGAAGGAAATATCTAAAACAAGTTAAGTTAGTCAACAGATTTGATTAAAATTGTTTTTTTTGGTTTGTTTAAGTCTGTCACAATTTCCATACAAAAAGAATCAGAAGGCCTTCTTCCTACCCATTTCTGTCAATTAARTGATAAATGCATTAAGAGAATATTTTGTATTTCTGATTCTAAGCTTGATATCTACAAAAGGAGAAAAATCACTCCTATTCTCAAGATGGCTGCAGCCATCAAAGATGATAAATACAATACTCGCAGAGAGACAGAATACATACAGCGTCAGCTAACCAAATGTAAATGCATGAATACATCAAATTCCGTCAAGGCTAAGGCTGAAATTTCAGCCTTAACAATAAAATTCTGTTATAAATGGTAACAGGGCAGGGAGAAAGCAAATTTTCTGGAACAGAATTAAGAAAGTAAAATAAGGGCTAAGGGTTTAGCTCAGTGGCAGAAGCACAACTAATACTGGTAAAACCATGGGCTCAATCCCTGGCACCAAAAACAGAAGGAAAAAAAAATAACACAGCTAGTGGGAATCACAAGTACATTAAACAGCTAGGATATTGACTAATGGGAATAACATTGGCCTTTATAAATGTTTACTTTGGAAAATGGCACAAAAAATGTCCATTTCTGAAAGATTATTATACATGTCATTTTCTGCATGTTAATGCAATCATTTTGTAAAACATTATCAGGTGCTTGCTCCATATCACCACCAAGTGATTTACATATTAACTAATTTAATAGTCACAAGAATCAAAAGATGGAAAGCGATTTTCAAAATTCACTGCTTAAAGCTTTAGCAAGTCCAAAAAGCACTTAAACAGCAATGAAAGCATTCCTAAGGAATCATGTACAACCACAAGAATGGGATCCTAATTAGAATACGTTATATTCCATGTGTGTATGTCAAAATATACTCTACTGTCATGTATATCTAAAAGAAACAAATTTTTAAAAATTTAAAAAAAGAATGCTTGGAAGGATCCTTCGCTTACTATGCCTAAATTTTGTGTGCTAATCCTTATTCAAGAAGCTCTGGTTTGGGTTATAAATAAAACAGGGTAAGAAATTAAAATGCTACTCACTTTGCTGTCAGAGAATAAGAGTTTGCTGTTTAAGATCTTTCAAATGCTCTCAGATACGAACCACCAGCAAGACCCACAGAGCAGTGCTGAACTGTGTTATGCCTTGGGGACAATGACTGTGTGTGTGTACACACAGGTACAGCAGTATTAAACACATAAATCAAGAGAGAGAAGAGGAGGTCCTCTTCCTGCGCCCCATGCTTTAGAGAGTCTTATTTTTCCTTGGCTCTCCTCCAGTTTTATTCCTCCCCATAGGCCATAGTGTGGAACTTTCTAGAACATCCACCAAGATACCGGAAGCTCTGAGATTTCCACCCAAACAGTTCCAAAACCGCTTCCAAGATCCATCCCATGACTACCTTGACACAAGGATAAATGCTACCAGATGTGAGAGATGGGGAGGCAGCTAGATGCAGAGATATAGTCCATACACATACCACACGTAGAAGGGAGCTGGCTCTCCCATGCTTTCCACTTTCCAGAAATGAATTCAGAGGATTTAGGGCGTGATCAAGGCAGCCTCGGGAGGAACTGGGCATATACTCACTACCAAGACAGAGCAACACCAGTAATGGGGAGATGCAAAAGCTGACAGGTGTACTGGCAGATAGATGTACCCAAGAGCCTAGATAGGGAAAAAGAAGTGCGCCAAAACCAGGATGCGGCAAAACGCAGTTCCTGGAAAAAGTGCCTCAGGCATCGGCTGGCCTTTGCAGTCCAGCTCTGCAGAGAGTAGGGGGCAGGGATCTGCGTAACTGGGAGCTGGGTGTCCAATCGGAGGGTTTTGAAGGCCGAGGAGATGGTAGGGTAGCAACAGGAGGAATCTGGTGCAGTATGAGCGCACAACCATCAGCTGATAGCGAGGAACCAGTCAAGTGCCGCGATTTAAAAGGGCGGGGCTGCAGCCGACGTCACCACCGCGGCACTCGTCACCCGCGCTTGCCGCATCCCATCCACAAGCTCTCTCTGGACCAGCTCGGGTGCACACGCGTCTCTGCGGGAGCCAGCCTAGACCTCTGCGGCAACTCCGGTATCATGGCCGACTCCGAGAACCAGGGACCTGCGGAGCCCAGCCAGGCGGCAGCGGCGGCGGCAGCGGCGGCAGCCGAGGCAACTGAGGAGGTAATGGCGGAAGGCGGTGCGCAGGGTGGAGATTCTGACAGCGCCGCTGGCCACAGTGACAGCGCGGCTGCTCAGATGGCTGAGGAGCCCCAGACCCCCGCAGAGAATGCTCCAAAGCCTAAAAATGACTTTATTGAGAGCCTGCCTAATTCGGTGAAATGCCGCGTCCTGGCGCTCAAAAAGCTGCAGAAGCGATGCGATAAGATTGAGGCCAAATTTGATAAGGAATTTCAGGCTCTGGAGAAAAAGTATAATGACATCTATAAGCCCCTACTCGCCAAGATCCAGGAGCTCACCGGAGAGATGGAGGGCTGTGCATGGACCCTGGAGGGGGAGGAAGAGGAGGAGGAGGAATACGAGGAAGAGGAGGAGGAGGGCGAGGAGGAGGAGGAGGAGGAGGCTGCGGCAGCCGCGGGGGCGGCCGCGCGGGTGAGAGATGACCGTCACCATGCCGAGATGCCCGATGACGCCAAGAAATAAGAGGGGGCAGAGATCACCAGGAGAAAGTCGCCGTAAACAACAATCCATTTTTTTTTTCTTTTAAATATTGGTGGACTGTAAAAGGCTCAGGTTTTTGACCAAAAATACAATGTGAATCTATTCTGACATTCCTAAAATAATTTAAATTGAAGCAATTCGATTCTGGTCAGCCCATTTCAAATTTGACTTTCATTTTGAACACAACAAAGGTATCAAAAGATGTCGAAGAATACCAAATTAGGCTTAAAATGGTTTTTTCATGATCTGTGAGGACTGGGATTGAGGCTGCAATGGGTGTCAGCAGATGTAAAAGAAAGTACGTCACTTGAAATTCATTCATAACGCGACCATTACCCTACCCATGGAACAACCCAAGCCAAACTGTACTGCATTCTCCATGCTAATTCTTCTTTAGTCCTTACATTTCCCAATGCAGAGAAAGCGAACCCGAGAAAGACGTCATCTTTTAAGACTTTGCTTTTGCAACCCCRACATCAGCTTTACCACGTCAGAGGAGAGACGGTGAGAGACTGTGTGGAGGAAGCCTGCGATGGAGATCATGAGACTGTTGCTAATGAGGCCAGGAAAACTGCCATTTCAATTTCTGAAAAAATGTTCTGAATATTTGAATCTAGAGCAAAACATGGTTTCAAGAAGGAGAGTGTATAACATGTATAATATTGTCAACATACGTATTCATTAGTTACAGTTTCATGTTTAAGTGTTTTCTTGGTAGTGTCTTTACAAAGCCGTAAAAATTACCCTAAATGTTTTAAGTCACTTTACCTAGAATTGTAGAAATATTAATTTACTTGAAGAGATGTAGAATGTAGCAAATTCTGTAAAGCATGTGTACCCAGTGTTATGTAGTTTGATCCTTGTGAAGTCTTTGTCATGTAGCTTTTAGGGTGTAGCTGTGAAAATCATCAGAACTCCTCACTGAAGCTAATGTTTGGGAAMAAAATATATACTTGAAGAACCAATCCAAGTGTGTGCCCCCATCCCCAGCTCAGAAGTAGAAAGGGTTTAAGTTTGCTTGTATTAGCTGTGCCTTCATTATTTTGCTATTTAAATGTGACATATTAAATATAAAATGGTGCATAATCAAATTTTACTGCTTGAGGATAGACTGGCATACAGAAAGGATTTTGAGGAAAGAACACATTTAATGTAAAGACTCTTAGCTTCTTTGTGGGTTTTGAATTATGTGTCAGTCAGTGATCTACAAAAAACCATAAGCATAAAGTTGTTTACCACTGTGGTGTTAATAAAACAGTATTTTCAAAAAAAAAAGGACTTGGTATTCTTACTGCGTATATTCTCATCTATAAAAGGGAATGGTCCCTTATGAGTTAATACACATTAACCCTATAGAACAGTAARTGCTGGATAATTTTCAGCTATTATCAATATGGTTACAGAAAAATTTAACCCTCCCATTACAAAAGGGGATAACACAGCCATCATTATATCCCTACTTATTATTTATTATCAGAAAAGAATTTGCCATTTAATTCAGAAATACAGAAAATTCAATAAACTTGATTTCTTCAACATAAAATCAGGTTTTGATTTCCTCTAAGAATAAAAGACTTTAACATGACATTATGAATATACAAAAATGGTTATCTTCAACTTTATGTTTGGACATTCCAAATAAAGAAAAAAACAAAACAAACAACTAGGCTCCAAAAAAATTTTTAAAAATCAGATGCCAATCTCTTCCATTTCTTAAGGGTTAAAATTACGCAGAAGCAAAAGCTGACTGTTTTTGTAGGAAATGGAAGGCAGCTCTGACCTGTTGCTAATGACAACAGTGAGTACAGACACCTAGGGTAATGCTAATCTTCCCGATAGCCAGAAATTAAAAATTTTCTTTTAATTTAAAAGAAAATTAAAATAACATTACATAAGTCATGATTATCTTAAATCATGATTATTTTAACAAAGCAAAGAAAAAACTAATAAAATATTCATTTCTTATCTCTAGATGAGAGATTCTCATTTAATATTTTTATAGATCCAGTAAAAAGCAAAATTGATTAAAATACTAATAAAGGATCTACTTACTAGGGAAAAGAAACTTGGCAGACATGAGTATTTGTATAAAGAAAACCCATTCAGCTGAAAAACTATTAGATGAAAAATGATTCAAATACTAATAATGGGAAAAAAAATTTGCAGGCATATGATTATTTATATAAAGAAAACCCAGAGAATCAGCTGAAAAACTATTAGATAATCGTCTGATAACTGATCTGGCTATCAGATAACAAAGAAAAATTTTTACTAAAATAATCAAAATATATGGAAAAGGATTTCACAGTAGAAATAGCAAGACAAAAAATATTTATATCAACTTCTGATAAAAAAATTATATATAACCTATGTGAAAAGAATAAACTTTGGCCTTCACAAATGTAACATAGGCCTTTGAATTGTAAGATAGAAATAAAAAATATATGTTAATTCTTCTCAAATTAACCTTTAATTTGTCACAATCCATCAAAGCTCAAACTTGATGTGGAATTTATTAACATATACCCCTCATGCTTRCTCATTAGAATCTAGCTAAGAAAACTTAGTAATATAGACTTTAGTGGACAAAAAAATTTTAATTGAAGAAAATACGCAAAATATTTATCAATTACTGGACATGTAAAGTCTAAGCGTGGCATAAAATCAAAAGGACAACACATAAATTAGGAAAYTATAAAAAATTATACATATACTCAACATTTTCAAATGCAAATAACAAACTGGGAATAAAATCTATAATTATATTCAATGTGATTTATATTCAAATCTATAATTATATTTCAATGGGCTCAAAAAGAGCTAATAGTCAATGTAATACTTCATATGAACCATAKGAAAATGAGGTGTTTTATAAAAATATATAAAGGATATAAGTAGGTTACTTTAAAAGGAGGAAATAAGACACTGAAATGGAAAGATGCATTCCTATATGGCGGCAGCACTAGGAGAAACAGGGCTCTAGCAAGCTCTTGAGACACAAGTTCCCCAGGGTGTGCTCTGATCAGCAGTCTTTCTTTTATAAGGCTTTAGCTCTTGGGTTTTCACTCCTTCAAGGATACGGGGATGTTTATGATACAGTTCTTAATGCATAATGTTTCCACCATTTCCTAACTCGGCTGATCCTGGAGTACTTATTTGATAGTTTGTCAGTCAGTCATAAAACCTGCAAGTTAACAGCTAGCAAGATAACCCTCCCTTCAAAGCCAATCAAATACTATCAATCAATAAACCATTTTTAACCCATTTTAGGCCAAACTTAGTCAACAAAGCACAAAACAGCAGAAAGAAGGACAGCATGCATTACATGTAAAACTGCAGCACTCGGATGCTTACTGTGCAAGCAGAGCACAGCAGCTCTCTCTGCTTGCGAGTTTCATACACAGATACATCTGCATTAGACACACACGACACAAATGCTTTTTTCTTTTTTCTTCTTTTATTAAGGTGAAATCCACTTAATATAAAATTAGCCATTTTAAAGAAAAAACTCAGGGGCATTTTGCACATTGAATGATGTTGCATGGATACCACCTCTTATTTGTTTAAAAAAATATTTTAGAAATAGACATACCAGAAAAAGGGATCAATGTTGTGCAGAATATGTAAAGTATCCTATGTATAAAAAAATTAATGAAATTGAATTTATCTATTTTTTGGTAAAAAAGAATACCACAATATAAGGTTTTAGTGACATKGATAATTTCATACACTGATGATGTATAAAAAGGTACAATTCATTAGCAAAATCAATTTAGCAAAAATATCTGTCAACACATTCAAAATGCTATACATTTTATTTCATCCTTGGAATCTTATTAAAAAAAATTTTCAAAGAAAAAAAAAGAACACCTTTACACATAAAAGAGAAAAAAGGGAAATAAAAAAACATACAAGCCAAATATCCAAATAAAATAACACATTAACACAGCAGACTGTACAACTATTATTAAGATGTCCATAAATATTTTGTAACATTTTAATACTATATAAGCACTGTCCCTATACCTGTTTAAAAATTCAGACATTCAATTTCATACACATACAGTATGTTTTAACTAAGCCAACCTTGTTTTCAAAACATTACATAGCCTACTTGGTAAAACAGCAAACTCTTTACAATAATTTTTCTTCCCGGGGGAGAAGGATACAGGAACTCTGGAGCCCCAGCCTCAGGCTCTCAGTTGTAGTACACCGATGCTCACTAAGCTGAACAGCTGGTTTTGAATCCTGGACTTCCCACTGTGTAACCCTGACCAAGTAACCAATGCCTCTTTGTGCCTCAGTTTCCTCATCTGTGAAGTGGGGAGGCTTACCTGTTAAACACTTAGAATAGTGCCTGACACATGGTAAGCACTAAGGAAGTGTTCCTGGCATCTTAATTATCTGCTATTCCTGTAACAATCCAGTACAAATGTAATGCAGACTTTAAAGACTGCATCTTTCATATACTATTCATGAGAGGTTAACTGAAGTTAATCAGAATTTTAACCTCAATAGATTTTTAAAAAATATTTTTAGTTATAGATGGACACAATAACTTTATTTTATTCATTTATTTTTATGGGGTGCTGATGATCGAACCTAGCGCCTCACACAGGCTAGGCAAGTGCTCCACCCCTGAGCTACAGCCCCAGATCTTAAGGAGAAAGAAGTGTTTGTCATGCGTTAAGTTTTATTCACAGGTACCCTTTGGAGCATTTACCTTACTAAGTCTAGCATTTCTCAGTGTTTAGTCCTTTTACTATTTATTGTCGCTCTTCCCCCATTTCCCTTATACAGGGGAACATACAGAAGGACAGCAATTGTGATTAATTTAATCAYATCAAATCAAAGTAAATTTGGGGGGATCTATAACAATATGTGAGTTTTTAATTAGTGGTAATAACACCAATATAGCATATAATAAATACTTAAACATGAGTAGTCATGTGATATAGTATTATCCAGATGTGACGACAGCAGTGGCAAGATTTAGCTATGATGCAGATACCAGCATCAACCACAGATATTCCTTTACCCAGCTGTCTATAACTCATTTGACTGTGTAGTTCTTGTCCAAGGATAGAAAGCAATTTTAAGACCAAATAGAATGAAATAAATTATGGATCCACAATTGGTATTCCTCCGGCATTGCCCTCCAAGGCAGCCATGACAGCAAATATCTTACTGTTAATGAAAACAGCTTCAATGTCAATAATATCTGTGTACCCAGATGCCTAAATTAAAAATCCAACGGATATTATTCCTATAGTTTTTTCATTTCTTATCTTATTCATATCATACAGGACCCCTGGTGACAAGATTATGGCATATAGCAAGCAAAGGAATGCAGCTATAACGATTAATCTTTTATCACTTCATAAACCTTCTTACCAGGATCTCAAGGTACTTTGCTGATAAGATGTGTTTTGTGCAGCTTAAAATGAAATGGGGATAAAAATCAAATGTCTTTTCTTCTGGCTGCCACTAATGAAAACAGCTGAATTAAGTAGTATGGCAGTAACCATATTAGATTCTTGGAAGATGCTCAACAGTATTATGGGCTGAATGTTTGTGGCCCCCACTCCCAAATTCATATGTTGAAACACTGCCTTCCAATGAGATGTTAGTAAGAAAGTGGAACCTATGGAAGGTAAAGTGGATCAGATAAAGTCATGAGGGTGAGCCCTCCTGAAGGGGACTGTTTATAGGAGCCATGAGAGCTTGTGTTCCCTCACTGCCCTCCACCATTCAAGAATATAAGTAGTTGGCCTTCGAAGAGGACCCTCACTAGAATGTAACCAATGTTGACACCATGATTTAGGACTTTCAGCCTCCAAAACCATGAGAAACACATTTCTGTTGTTTATAAACCACCCCATCTATGGTACTTTGTTACAGCAATCTGGACTAGGATAAACAGATTACTGAAAGCAACAGGATCTGTCACCAAGTGACACAGAAACAAGTAAACAGTGACTAACACAGTATGGATGAGCTCACTGTGTGCTTAGTGAGTGCTAGTGACCCTGAAAAGCCAGAACTTAAATTTCTACCTAACACAGAAGTGGTTACATATGTTAATCTCAAATATAGTGTATCGGGAATCCCTATTTTGCTTGGCAATATGTAACATAACCACATATTTTATTGTACAAAGACTTTAAAAACTTTCGAAAAC